GGCATTGATTGGACGGTAGGAGATGAGATAGGAGGTGTACTATGTTTTTTAATCAAGTAATTTTATTTACAAAGACGGTGATTTTATAAGAAAACTTTAAACGATATTTCCATGGCAATTATGAAATTATGAAGCAGCCTACTTTATTAGAAATGTATTCGAGTATAACTTCGATATGATTTTACCTTAGTTCCCTTATTTTTGAAGTGTATTGCAGATATAGTAAAAAATACTATTAGAAACGCGTGTATAATTATTAATTGGTCTTTAAAGCACTTACAACATTTAAAGGCTTGATTATACACTTATTAACAAGCCAGTTCATGATTTTGTTTCTGTCCGTAGATCCCGCTGTGTACATGATAACTTGCGAACAGTTTCAAATTTTCCAATTCTGTTTTCAGTAATAGGTAGACTATGGTCAAGGGACTAACTGATTAAATTTTGGTCAATATACGTCAACCGGAAGTGACCTTGTCGCTTCTTGTCTATATTGGGGCATCAGTTTTTTTCTTAATATACTATTTTGCAGTGCAATGTTAGTCTCTTGCCTACTAAGTTACGAGAAATCAGGGAAAAGTGTAGAAATATCCTGTGTAATCATTTTCTCGGGAAAGATAAAGACATTTTAGAAAATGCAGAGGAAATTCGGAAAATAAAAAAATATTAAGGGAACTCTTAAGATAAGTTTAGAACGGTGTTTATGCTTACTTGATCATTTCATACAGCTTCATGTTTTAATATCTTGTCAAATAATGTTAAGCTTAAGACAACATGGGTAATACAAGGGCTTTATCTCCATTCTGTTTTACCACTAATAAGTTTTACCACTTGTTAGGTTACGTTAGGTTGTTAGGTTTCCCCTTTCTCTTTAGAATAAGATGAATAATTTTACCTGGTGATAAAAATAATGGGTGGTAAAAAAGGGAAGGTGGTGAAAATGGATTGGTAAAAAGAGGGCGAATCATAAAGAAAGTATTAGCAGATTAGGAATTCATATGGCGAATTCGAGGAAATACGTCTGAAAGAGGAAATGTTTGGCAAATGAAAGGAGGATTTTAGAAGTTAAAAGGAAATGCTGAAAAAATAAATAAACATTGGAGAAGATTTTAAGAAAATTTTCGTGTTGGGAAATTATCGTAGTAAATTGTTGTCCTCTAAAATACTTATGTTGCAACCGACCCCTTAAATTTAAAGACAACTTTTAGCAAAGACGGGTAATGATTTATCAAGCAATGACATTTTATATCAAGAAAAGTCACCAGATATAGCTGGGTTTGAAAGAGGGAGATCATAACATTGTTTTTCAAGTGTGTTTAAGAATTCATTAAAAGAGATCTCATAAGGGTGCGGGCAATTTTTCAGCCATAAACAAAAGTAAGCATCAGAGTGAAAAATGTTAATTACAAAAAAGATGTACAAAAAAGGCTTCTACACTACACTTTTTGCTGACAACTAGCTTTGATTTAGCGTTACTAGAAACAGATTTACTAAAATTCAAGCCTGGGTAGGATCCTTAATTAGACATTAATTCTAGACGCATTCAAAAATCCATCACAAAAAGATGAATGCTACGAGTTTGCTAGTTAGTGCCCTGTGTAAATCGAACAGTTTATTTAAGGTAGGTAATTTTATACTAAGGGCCGCCGATAGACGAAGAAATTTTCCGATATAATTCGCAATAAATCAAAAGCAATTGAATACGCTTTAAGGGTTCCAGTTCCATCATATACAAACCGTAGCGCATAAATATTTGTTAAATTACCAAAGCGAAACACTCAAAAGTTCGGTGTACTGAGGGAAAATTTATTAAGAAAGTTTTTAAATTTCCATAAGATGCTTATTCTTCCGCATTTTAATATAACAGTTAAACTTAACCATATTGCAGAAGTTCTACATGAAGGCATGTAATAAATGATGTAACATTTCGCAATAATAAAAAAAACCCTAAGCTCCCCGAATTTGTATAAAAAAAGCGGTTTTAATGAAATTAATTGAATCCGTTGCATTAAAAGGAGCAAAAAAAACCGAATGCAGCATTTCAATTTAATGAGAATAAGCAATCATACAAAATCCTCTTTTGCACAAATCCAGATACGGACGAAATGTATTTTGAAATGTAAGGAAAACTAGCAACAAGAAAATCAATAAATCCTAATCCGCCTTAACGAGATCTAGTTCAGATATAGATAAAAATTAATGCAATAATTCCGTATTTGCAGTAAATTTATGTTTCTGAATTATAAACAAATCACTGCTTTCTATTCGTGACTGTTATGTTATAATTTCTCTTTCGTAACTAAAATGACTTTCTCCGTTCTCCACCCACCAAACCATTTTACATACCTACATTCTCTGATAAGGGATTGCATTACGTAATTACTGTTTTTTGTGAATCTGTCAGTCAGTCACAACTTCCTGATTAGTACAAATTGCAACGATTAAAACTCCATTTCGTAGGATCTAATAAAGGTATCGAAAATCTAATTGTAAAACTTTCAGTTCAATCAAAACATCAAAGGAAAAAGGCTTTCTTCGACAAATAGTTATTTAATAATATCTTAAAACCTCTTTCATAATATTTAATGAAGGCACGCCTCACGCATTCATGTAAATTAATTAATTTTCATGCTATTACTAAATTAAATTTTCAAGATCAACGTAACACGTTCAAACTTCCACAAAATATTTCATTGACTATAAAAATATTATGTAAACATCCTTTTCTATCTTATGGATTCTTAATTAATCGATCGCGTGTTCAGCTAGCTTATATTATCCTTGGCTAGACACTTAATCCTGTTACACGCCGTATTCTTTGAGGATAATAACTTTAATATGGAAATGCGTTGATGTTCCCGTCTAATTTAGATATAATTTATAACAAATCGTCGATTGCGACAATAATTTCGCGTCGCGAGCAACGCTCGTTAATAATGCAAATGGGTTGACGAAATTTTATTAATCTATTAAATTCTATTTCGAAAGGGTATAAAATACTTCAAAAAATGCTCAACTTGTGCAATCCTGTAGTTTCGGATGGAATTCGTTGAAAAGATTTTCCTAAATTTAAATTAGACATTTATTCTTAATGAAATTCAATAAATAGTGAATCATCGAGGCAAGTAGCTTGATGACTTTCCATATTACTTGACTTGAAAATCAAGTAATTTCAAGCTACTTCATTACTTGGTATAGATCAACTTAAACTATAGTCCATCTACGAATTGAAACGGAGAAGAATTTTTTTGTCAGATTAATTGTACTTTATTGACTTTTTAAGAAATATATAGGATAATCTCCATAAATAATACAACATATATGTACAATAATAAGAATTAATAATAAATGAATTCAGAATTTAATAATACCTTATGCGAAATGCTTTGCATTTAAAAAATGAACCTTTATTTTTGTTAATTAATTTTATGACTTTACTAGTTTAGTAAAGTTATAAAGTATAACAAATATTTTCCTTAATTTGAGTTTTTCTCTTAAATTTGATTATGTAATACCTACAATACGTTTTTTGTACTGCTATATCCAAAAAAGTGTACAATTTTACACAAAATTGCAATATTATATTGGAATTGGAAATCTTGATAGGCAAAACGGAGGGTACCTAATTATGTATTGTAAAGGTAGCTGTAGATTTGCATCTATTTTTTCGATTTTTTTAGCAGAAAGAGATAAAGAGGGGTTTTTGAGGTTTTGAGTAATTTTTAAGCACTGATAATCATCAGGTCATCAACATTTGGAGATGCTAAGTTATTTTCCAGATGGATAGTGGTCTTGTTGGAGTTTGAAAGAAGGGGTTGGTCGACTGCAGTGAAAAGGACCTGTATGTATTTCTGCGTATTTGTTTTCTACAGGGTCTATGTTTCTTAGAAACCGGTAGAAACACAAATTCTGAAATTTATATCGTATTTCATCTGTTTTAATAGATACATTGGATTATAATGCGAACTCTGAATGAAAACCGCTAAATCTGCATAAAGACTATTGAGTTATTATTTATCCCTCTACCTACCTTCTTCACTTTTCTAGAAACGTTTAACTTTAACTAAAGCTTCCAAAAAATCACCCTGTATTTACCTATTCCTAGAAAACAGCGAAGAACTCTAACAACGTATCGCAAACGAATCATTGAATTTACTTATACGAGTATGTTACACTTTGCATAAAAGCCATTCCATATGTAGAGGGATGATAACCGTGAAATTACAATACGCTGGATTATTATTATTAACACAGAGAAGAAAGAAATTGTAACAGGCATACATGCACTTGTGTATGAAATAAAGGGCAAAATTGTGAAATTTACTGTTTTTTTTACTAATGTTATTCTAAGACTGAATAGAACATTTCAACCCCACCCAACAAAGAAAAGCTCGTACTGTAGCAACACAACTTCTGTATAATTAAACTATCGAGTAAATCAGATTCGAAGGGCGTAAAAGTATATAATTACATAATAAATTAATTGACCTAATTTTGCTGTACGTTAATTATAAAAGATTTTTAATTTCTCGAGCAACAATGGAGTTTCGAAGGGAGTTTTAAAACTCCTGATTTGTAATTATGAGGACAATTGCTTTCATTAAAATCTTAGAGCAGGGGCACGACTCGTAATCTAATTGTATTTTAATAATTATTTCGAACTTTTAGTTTGAAATTTGAGGGTCGGGATAAAATTTAAGATGCACTCATTAATGAAAGCTATAACAGTTAACTAACTTAAAGGGTATTGTGTTGTTTTCTAGGGGCGGTTCCAGTTCGCTATGGGGGAAAAGTCGCAATGTAACGCATCTATCTTGAAATTACACGGTTCGTAAATTATGCCGGATACGAAAGATATGCGAGACGCTTTCTAAAATGGACATCTCCAAACGTCGATAAAATATTATTGAATTCTAGGCGTTTGCACTATGTAAGTTGTCAATGTTTTAAGATAATATTTTGTAACCATCCCATAAACTATGAAAGTAAAGAGTACTTACCCGATCACCAGGATACTGATATGCCAAACCTTCAAAAATCGGTGTCTGGAATTAAAAAATGAATTATGTCAATAAAAACAGCACCATTCGCAGAATAATGTTTGAAAATGAAAAATGCACATGCTTTAATGACATCCTTCACCAGCTGACAGTACCGTTGCCGTAGAGATGCAAGGATAAAAACTTTTCTGATTTGATTGGATGTTGGCGACACTAGGTACAGGTTCTAACATTTAGCGATAAAGATAAGATAAGACTAACTCTAACTCATTCTGTAAGAATCCAATATGAAGTGTAAATCTGGGGAATTATTTACGGAATAAGTATAAAGTTGGTTTATTGTATTTGAATTTGTTATCTTAGCGTCTACTTTTCCTTTTCGAATTGTTTGTAATTCCATATTATTTTCTTGATTAAATTTTATCGCTTTCATAATTTATTCAATTTAGAGAAGAATTTCGTCAAACTTGCGTTATTTCCGTTTGGGATAAGGAGTCTTATCTTGTAAAAAACTCAAAAAAGTCAATATTAGGATTTTTCTTCTGGCAGATGCCGGATGTGTACGAGGAGAGTTTCAATTTTGAGTTGTTTTGAGCTAGTTTGACAGGTATTCTGTGGGTGGCGTAGAGACCGCAAGCCATTGCACACAGTAATCAGCCCTGTGATGTATCACTAACGTTAAACCGTAACGTGCCTGTTATATGTAGAAAACGTTATTTTGCCCATTTTAAATAACGTTTATTGGCAGATAACCTGCACCTTAAGTTTGACGTTTCTGATACATCACAGTTCACAGGGCTGAATATATGTTGCAAATAATGATGCAAACATTTTTTGCGCCCCTTACGCAATTTTCAAAAAATGGCTCAAGCAGTAAAATTTTTCTTCCTATTTTTCTAAAACTTCACATTTCTTTTCTGAAAGTCATGTTTGGATTCTAAAGTTTCAATACGCAGTGGTTTTGGAACTTTTTTCTTCAGATTATGTCTATTTTCCCTTCAGATTCTGTAGATTTTTCAATTTTCTCCCAAATCTACAGATTATTCCAATTTCTCGGCTTTTCAGATTTTTACGTTTCATCAAACTTTTCAGATTCTTTCGTTTCTTTGAATTTTTCCGATTCGTCATATTTTGCGAATTCTTCTAATACACTTTGATTTTCGAGTTTTTCTTTGGATTCCTCCATTTTTTGTAGTTGACAGATTCTTTAAAATCTCTTATTCCCTCGAATATTTGATACTCTTCAGATTTTTAATTTTTCCAATTCCTTAGATTCTTTGGATTCTCTCGTTGTTTAGCGTCGAGTTTTTAAGCGAGACGCTTATGCTTTCGTTTGATCGATCGCTCGCTCGATGGCTTCATGCTCATCGATTTAAAAGAGAACGGATGAACCGATTTCAATAAAATTTTGCAATTTAGGGCAAAAAATAAGGAACGCCCTTTTGACATCATATGCTATATATATTTATTTATTTATTGCCCCTCTCTTGTTCTAGGCACTCAACAGGCTTTCGCCCAATTGCAGAGTGACCCATAATGCTTTTTAGAGGTGCTCCTGCAGAAGGCCTTAAGTTGCTCGAAACTACTCCGGTATTTACCTTACGAATTAGGAAAACTGCAGGAAAACCTAATTCCCATCTCTGCCTTAAATGAAAAATGTTTACCTCAGCCCAGGTTCGAACACCCGATCTCTCGGATATGTAGCCCAACACTGCTACACAGTCGGCTAAAAGTTGAACCTAATTCACAGTGCCTTTATAGCCGATTTCTGCACATTTTTTTTAAAGGCTACTTTTAATCTCATTTTGGCTGGCTGGCTGGCAGTAAATGAATGCCCGTAAAAGAACGATTGTATAAAGGCGAGGAGTGTACGGGTACCTACCGGAGCCGTGTAGTTAAAAACTGTAAGGAGGGGTGTATATGATGCGGGGTCGGCGACATCTGGACGCCATGGCCGAGTGTTGTTTACTAACGTGGTGATTTTTTCAGTTTTTTTCCTATCTTCTTCTAGAGTTTTGGTCCGATTGGTGTCATCGGAAAGATCTTATAAACCCACACAATTCTTGAGTGACGGAAGTTCATATTTTTTTCTAGACGCGAAATAAACCGTTTGGCAGGGCACACGTCTTCGAATTTTGTCACGTTGTTCGTTAAAGCGGATTCTCTTTCTAGGGTCGTCAAAAAAAGCTCGAGCTATGAGATGTCCCCCGAAACTTGAGAACTATTTTGTGGAGGTTTTCAGTGAAATCCACCAAAGTGGTCTATTTACAAAGGAAATGTGGTAGCCCCCGACAATATCTTACGGATGGTGGAGTCAAAACTGGCTAATAGAATACTGATATGCCACAGAAAAATGCAAAAATAAAGTATGAATTGACTTTTGCAGGATTCTAACTATTTAAAATTTTATATTCTTAAAGTCGTGTTTTATCCATTTGTTTAGATGCTTCATTCTTCTGCATCTTCATTTTCAGATTCTGTGGATTTTTCAATGTTATCCCAAATCTACAGATTATTCAATTTTGTTGGGTTTTCTCGTTTTTTCGAATGTCTTCAGGTTCTTTGAATCCTTCAAATTCTTCTGTTTCTTCGAATTTTTCCGCTTCATCATATTTTTAGAATTCTTCCAAAACACTTTGATTTGCGGGTTCTTCTGATTCTGATTCTTTAAAATGATTTATACCTTCGAATTCTCAGCTTATTTATTTTTCCAATTCCTTAGAGACTCTTTGGATTCTCTCGTTTTTGGTGATGATGTTTTGTTATGATAGGTACCTATTACTTCCTTACAAATGTCCTATTTTCGAATTAATTGTTACTCATATGGCTTCCGGGTGTTTCTGATTTTTTCATATTTCTAATATTTATGACTTTCAATTATTCTCCATCTCATTGGGTTCTTCGGATGCATCGGATTTCTTTGATTATTCAAACTCATCAGATTCTTCATGATCTTATGTTATCTTAGATTTTATCGAATCCTTCCAATATTCTTCAAATTCTGCAGATCCTTGAAATTTTATGATCCATCAGTTCCATAATATTAGTAAAATTCTTAGGTTTCTTCCGTTTTTTGCTCATCTTTTGATTATTCAAATTTATCAGGCGCTTTAAATAACTCACACCCTTCGAGCAGACTCTTCAGCGTAATAGAATTTTTCTCATCTTTCAGATTCTTTCGTTTTATCAACCCTTCAATTTACGTTACGTGCACGTGCACCTAGGCAAGTATTGTTTATGCGTAGATGACCATTCCCGATTAATTTGTTACAGATACACAGTACCCTACCCGAAATTGTTTTTCCTCCATTACCTTAAAGATAAGTTAAGGGCCGTCCTTTCATGTGTCAGTTAATCTTATCTGAAGGATAAGTTCCACTTAGAATACATGTCTTTCCGTGGAAAGGATAAATTTAACGGTAAGATTAAAGACCGAACCTTAATGAGATTTCTGAACCATCTAAACAAGTAAATCTAGAACAAAAGGACGAGAGCTTCGGAAAAGAATAACTTACTAACGATAGTAACTTGATCTGTCTTTGAGGGTGGTACCCTTAACAAAAAGGGATGAAAATATGACTGATCGAATTTTATTCTAAAAGACGTTATCGTCGAATCTAAAATAGACGAGCACCAAAATAGCTCAGTTGCCGTTCAAAACACTTGGACCGTGTGGCCAATTTTCCAGCGTTAGGCTGTAAATGGTATTTCGTTCTTCTGTGAACCAGTTCTTCTGTTAACGGCGCTAACTGTTAACTGAAGAAAATGAAACGATTGGCTAGCACCACTTACGACAATCATAAAACGCCAACACTGCCGCTGGGAGATTTTCTTGTATCATTTCTGATACAAGAAATTGTAATTATCTATGCCACGGATTTCGTATTAACAATAAACTGTAGCAGGAACAAGTTATGTGTATAACTTCAAGTTCAACATTTCACCTAAGTAAAAAAAAACTAATATGTCAATTTTATTGGGACCACCCACATTTTCATCCAGTTAATAGTTTGAGAACATATGAAGGATAATTGGATGAAAAAATGATCAGTAGTTATAAATTTTAATGAAGCGATTTTAGGGGAAAGTTTTTCGAGGAGTGAGCTTTACGTTAAGCATATAAAAACGGAGAGATTCGATTGAAAACAATAACTGATGAATAACTAAAGAAAAAATGTTATCGCGAAAGTTTGGAAATAGTAAAGGAAGAAGGCGGCGGTGTTTTCCGGTGTGCGTACTCAAGTCGTGAATAGCGAAAAGTTTTTGTTGTGAAAAGTTCGAAATCCAAGTCCCCGGATCACTGTCATCAACCGTTTTCCACAGGTTGAATATAAAAAATGTACAATTTGCATGCATATAAAGAGCAACAAGTTAGCTTGGGAAAGTTGTTTGTGAATGAAACGTCTATTTTGGGATCTTCTTTGAGTCCGTCTCAACGAGAAAGGGGCGCGGGCGGCGGCGTTTCAGCAACTTAACGCGGCCACCGAGAGACACGCTCGTAATGATTTATCCGGAAAACCGCCACTTGACCGCCGACTTACTGCCCTACTGACTACGACACGAAAGATGTCATGTTACTACCACTACTATTACTACTACGGGTTTATCGGCCCCACTTGGATCGTTCACGACATCCCTTACCCAAACTATTATATCCCATCAATTTTCCACTCTACTTTTGACGTTAGTTTTTTTTATTGCGATTGAAATTGCCTTTTTATACATTTGTTCAGTAAAACGCGTTGGCACTTTGCGTGTAATTTTCCTTTTTGCGCACTTCGTAATTACCACTTTAATTTGAAAAAGAAAGCTTCCCCACCTCTCACACTTTTAATTACGTAATTACGCTTAATACAGGAACGCACGGGAGAACTTTTTATTGGGATTTGATTGATAAAGCCATTAAAAACACATAAAGGAAGGTATAATTTAAGATATGCACTTCAGAACATGATAGAATATTGTAAACATAATTTACTATGAATAATGTCTTTTTCTATTCCATGAATATTTTATTGTTGATTTTTGTTACCTTATTACTTTTT